GCTTTCCCTAAACTTTCCTTCAACGGAGCAATCTCTCCCTCATCATCCCCAGTGACAATTATATCATTCACATAACAACAAGAATAGTAATGTGACATTAGCATTGATATGTTGATAGCTTGTGCCTATCATTACTTTCCTGAACTTGTCAAACCAAACTCGAGGAGACTATTTCAAACAGTACATTGACTTTCTCAATCTACATACATTGACCACTATTTGGTTCGTGTTGAAGTCTGGAGGTATCTCCATGTACACCTCCTCTAGCAGATCTCTAATGAAGAAATGTACTTTTCGTGTTGAAGTCTGGAGGTATCTCCATGTACACCTCTAGCAGATCTCTAATGAAGAAATGTACTTTGCACATCTAGTTAGTGTAACCTCCATCCACCATTTACAGCCAAAGAGAAAAGTTTCCTGACAGTGCTCATCTTTGTTACTGGTGCAAATGCCTCATCATAGTTGACGTCACATGTATGACTATACTCTTTCGTCACCCACTGTGCTTTGTAGAGCGAAGGAAAGGTTTACTTCACTGCGAAGACCCATTTACACCTGACTGTCTTTTCCCGGATGGTATCAACGCGAGCTTCCATGTATTGTTCTTATCGAGAGCACCAAGTTCCTCCAACATTGCAGTCTTCCACTTTGGATCCCCCCTGGCTAACTGCCAACTTTTCGGTATAGAGACAATATCCAAAAATGCAATGAATTTTTTGCGTAAAGGAATATGTTAGAGTATGAGACAAATTGGGCAATGTCACATGAGAAACCAAAATGATCAATAGAATAACAATCAAAAGGCCGACCCGCAATGCTGTGAAAGTCCACTGAAAATCATAGAAGTGAGAGGAGGAAAGAGAAGAATAATATCACCTGTGTACTCCAATTTTGAGATGGATGGTGTATGTGTCTCAAAAGTCAGGGTAGACAGAGACAAAAGTCTTGTTGGCACAAGTGATGCAGCAAACATTGTTCTCTCATTTTGTCTTTTCCTCCATGTATACACTCTCAACTACCCTTGAGCTTGAGTCCTACCACATTTAGGCTCATTTTTCTCATTTTTTGACCCGTATTCAATCGATCCTTCCCACACAACAGGACAAAACATTGTTCCTACCTATATCAATCTCTCACCATCACTGCTCTCCCCCTCTCACCTCATACCTAGAATATGAGAGTCATCAAAGGTCGAGGTGACTTCCAAGGTGTAGTATGATTCGAATTATCTAAAACTCACAAACAATCTCTTCATTATTGGGCTCTAACAAACATACACCGACTGAGTGGCAAAATAACCCACAAAAACACACTTCACATATCTCTGGGATCCAGCTTCCATATTGATGATCTATTATCCTTTACAAAACATACATAACCAAATACCTTCAATGAGATCCCGTCATTATCTTCTTTCAACAATTCACAAAAGATCGACGCTCCAACACTCTTGAGGGTATTCTGTTAATCAATTAAGTGGTTGTCAAAACAACTTGCCCCCACAAGTGTTTTGGGTCATTCAACAAGATTATCATGTTTTTGGCTACCTCCAGGAGGTGTTTATTCTTCCTCTTTGCTACTGCATCTTATGTCGGTGCGTATGAAAATTGGTTTAATGTTGTATCTCTTGGACTGACAAATATTCCCCAAGTCTTGTCGACATGCCCTATCCATTATCAAACCTCAATACCTTCACTATTACCCTGTATTGAGTTTAAATCGCTCTGTGAAAGTCTTTAAAGCAGTAAAACACATCATTTTTATTTCTCATCAGATATAATCAAGTAACACGAGAAAACAATCAATGAAAGTTACAAAATATCTGTAACCATTCATCAAAGTTATAAGATAAAGTCCCTATACATCTGAGTACACCAAATCAACCAAATCAAAAACATAAGAACTATTACCAACTAATATAAGAGCTCCTGGTGTGCTTACTAAAATTAGAATCATCACACACAAAATTATGTTTATTTTGTCTTTTCATACAAAGACGGATATAAATGACTCAATAAACTAAACAAAAAATGTCGCATACGCTTGTGATGTAGAAGCTACACATCCTCCACACTTCTCACAGATCCTCCTACTCCAGCACTCTCTACCATGAATGTCATCATCCCCTCTCTATCCAAGTATCAGAGTTCACTATGCCACGTGTTAGTCTCAAGTCTCCAGCCAATCCCCTTCTCTTGAAAGATCACATTAGAAATATAAAATAAGACAACACATTTTAGTTGTAATATAATGGCACTAATGGATAAAAAGTTCACTAGAAATGAAGGAACGTGCAAAACATTGGAGAATTGGTACACCTCACTATAACCTTACCAACCACAGACCCATCAGCGGTTTCAATGCTCTCTGGAACTGTTAGGTGAGTATATGAAGAGAACATACTAGCAGCACCTGTCACATATTAAGAAGCACCAGAATTTACTATCCATTTTGCTGATCTTGTGGTGGATATAAAGGTAAGAGCATGTGTATCACGAGAAACATTGGCTGAGTGACCATAAGTAGCAGTGTTCCCATTGGATGACGACAAGGTGTATGCATCCTCAATCACATCACATGCGCTCTCAGTTTCCTCTTCAACATTTATAAGAGCTTGTGATCCTCATCGGAAAGATCACCCTTGTTTCTCCCTCTTTCTTTGCTATCGCCATATTTCTCTGGTGGCTCCCTTTTCCACCCCTTTAGCCCCCACAATTACGACCACGACCTCTTGACTATCCACGTCCACCCGTCTCTCTCTCTCTCTTTAGGTGGCTTTAGACAAGCCTTACTCAGGTGTCCCACCTCTCTATAGTTGTAGCACATGTGGGTCTCCCCCTAGGCACCTGCCATACGTAAGCTTGAGACAACCAAAGTTGATGGTGCACTTAGAAGTCCACTCGGTTCAGAGTGTACCCTCATGCGACTCTTCTCCTGTATCATCGCGACGATGGCTTTAACCAATGAAGGAATCATTTGCCTAGACTAGGGTGATCGATCTTCTCTGATCAAAGGTCGGGTTCAGATGAACCAAAAACTAAATAGTCCACATTTGTACAAATATCTCCCCCTTTTTGCACCTCGGATGACCATAACTTGACATAGGTGAAAAGTGATCAAGAACTTGTCACAGTCACTCCAGCTCTATGAAGCACTCCTTAATCGATCTATCACCCTATGTCACTGTCTCTATGCCACGCTGAATCTGGAACACCCTCATGTGGTTCTTAGTCCCAACATAGCTCCTCTTCAATTTTGCCCAAATGTCATTCACCTTTCGAATGTCATCCACTGATATGGCAATCGATAGAACCATCAAGTTGAGTATGCAGGTGTAAACCAATGCATGTTTTTTCCTCCATTCCTCCTCAACACTCTTACTCTTTGGTTTGACCCCTGTCAGGTATCCTTTTAGTCTCTTCCTTACTAGAACAACCTTGATCCAACGCGACCAACTCAAATATGTGGTCGGTCCATCGAG